TTTTGCCGTAAAATTTCGATAGGTCATAACTTCTTCGTTATAACTCGGATTTCGGCGTTATTTATATGTACGAAACCCTTGTGAAATATACTATAAATTGTTTAAGATTATTTATTCTAAACAATCTTCTATTAAAAAGTCATTTTTCATGCTTATCGTCTCTAAATTGACTATCCCGAAGCTGTGGGCGTTACAATTATCTCCCCCTTAGGATGATTACGTCCCTCAATCATCAACGAAACAGAGTTGTATAATGACTCCATATGTTATCTCTTTATCCTAGGTAATAATCGTAACTTCTATGTTCTTTCGACTGAGTATCTAATTCTTGGACTTCTCGACTGCAGGTGGTGCTTGATCTTGCACCACTCTCTATCCCATGTTAGACTTTTGATCATGACCTTCATGTCATAATCCCGTTCTTTATCAGAGACTCCTTCTTATTTTTAACAAACTTAAGATAATTTATTTTGATTTCCAGAATAGACCGATGGGTCACGTTCTAATGACCTCACATTGTATGTTGCAACGCTTAGACTCATGTCTCTTAGAGTCAAATTCCAGAATAGACTATACCTTCCTTCATGTTCTAACGTGATATAATCACGTCTTAAAAGGTAGAATTTCTAGCTATAAGGAACTATCACGATACCTCTACTGATCGCTTTTATTTCAATCTTCCGGTTTAAGTCAGATGCCACATCGAACTTGGTTCTCTGAACCACGTAACATACTCATCGTAGTCGGACTCAATTTGATATGACCACTAGGGTCGGAATAACAATCATCTTCTTAGTCATTACCGAAATGGTGTAATGACAGATATGAACAAAACATAATCAATTACTAGTGCCTTGGTAACCTTGCGACTTTCCCTGATCTAAGTGTAAGTCCTATGCTTCTGGTAGTACAGGCCTCTACTACCATTCACACCTACTCATACTCGTCCCAAGTATTGTCTCATAGATCTCCACGTCATTATCACAAAATCAATTTTAAAACATTCAAATGTGTCCAAACAATCATATAATGTTCCCTAAACTTTACTAGGACTTCTTCCATGTGTATCTTCAATCATCAATTCTACTTCAACTCGGTTGGTGATGGAAATGCCAGTCAATGGGATAACTTCATGGATTATACAAAAAATCTTTCTTTCTGTTAATCGAACATGTACTTCTCTCGTACTAGACATATTATTTATTAGACGCATTCTAAAGGCAAGATATCACTCTTACGATATCTTCCGATTGGTATCATTCACTATCCTAAGCCTTCTCATTTCCTCCATTTACTCACTTCACTGCGAGTCTTCACCATGATGTTCTGAAATTTGTGTATTGTTATTATTAAAAGTGAATAAAATTGAGTGTTGAGTTCTAACAGCTAGTTTTTACTAGAAATGAGTGTTGAGTTCTAACAACTAGTGTTGAGTTCTAACAGCTAGTTTTTACTGTTGTTACTACATAGTAACATTTTTTTCTCAAAAATTATCAATTAGAAAATTAGATATTACTAAATTACCGACTCGGAAAAATCCATCAAAGACATATCAAAGAAAGTGAAGCATCTCCAAACATTGACACAACCAGGAACGGCGTTTGCATTGTAATGAATACAAGTATTGCAAATTGTGATGAATACAAGAATTCCATGTGAGACAATTCCTACTTGCATTAAGAGTTATTACTATTTAGAAATGTTTGTTTTTATTTATGAGTTATTTGAGATCCTTTGGAAATTAGGATTCATGTACAATGCTATAAATAAATTCTTAGTTTTATTGATTTCGCCTATGTTTGGCTAGTTAAAATATTATTTGATAGCCGCTAGCCGATAAAAATCACGTTTAGTAAAAATAGTTGGTAAATTAGCTCAAAATATAAAATAACATATGGACATGTAGAAGAATGAGTTTTTAATATTAATAAAATGTATATTTTGGAGAATTTTAAAAAAGCTTTATAAATTCGTTGAAATAAATGGTAGTCTAATGTTATGTTAGCAAACTAACTGATAAGCTAGCTTATGAATTAATAATATTTGATCAAAAGTGGTTTATAAGCTAGACTGCAATGTAAAACAATGTAAATAAACATTTAGATATATAACTACAAGAAAAAAAAAAGAATATATATATATATATATATATATATATATATATATATATATATATATATATATATATATAATTAAGGGCATATTTGGAATATTTTTGAAAATTTTCATAAGCTTACCAAAAGGCATCTTAAAGTAATGTATCCAAAGTTTGCTTATAAGCTAGTTCACAAAGCTAGAATAAGCTATCTTTATGGTTTTTAAATTAACATATTAAATAAAGAAGAAAATTTTACATAGACGTAGCGGATAAACGAGCAACAAATTGTGTCGCAATAAGCTAGATTATAAGGTAGTTTATTTTGTCAAACAAAGTCTAATAGTTTTTAAAAAATTAGCTTATAAGTTACTTTTTGGCTCGCTAAACACTACAACCCAAAAGATCTGAAAAATAACTTATAAGCTAGATGTAACTTATCAAATATAGTCTTTATTATATATCGGTTAATGCCTTCTTCTTTTTTTAACAACATAAACATTTTATAAACAACTAGCAATGAGAAAGAACAACAATTATAAATAGATATTTATCAAAGAGTTTTGTAACCACAAAGACCATTGAATCAAAATGTTCTTATTTCTAGAGATAAACCACTCAAACGAATTGAGAACAATCCTTTCCATAATGACATTTTTAGGAAAATTCGAACTTGGAAACACGACGTTGTTTCTGTACCGCCACAACATCAAAATAACTGAAAGAATGATTACCTCCAACGCCTTTCTTTTGTTCCTAGAGAACAGAACCGTATCAACCCAAGACATAAACTCAACTATATTTATCGGAGGAGGGAACGTCGATTCCACCCATGTAGCAGTCGCACTCCACACTTGGACAATAATCTCATAGAAAACAAAAACATGATTACCATCCTCCAACGCATTCTCACATAAAGGGAAAATGAGAGACGGGATATCAATACCATTATTACTCAAATTGGTACTAGTTGGAATGTCATTCAAAAGAACCTATCACATCAAAACAATAAGCTTAATCAGGACTTACTTATTCCAATATGTAGTTTCCGTGGTCGCATGTAAACTTAAGTCATCAATTAATTGTCTAGTATTGTTAACCAAGAAGGCGCCATCTAAAGCGCCTCCACTCCACCTTGAACCTCGGGGTTCCACTAATATTTTTTGTGTTCTATTTTGTGATTTCTTATGTCCCAAATATATATCATCATATTCATAACAAGCGTTATCATATTCATCTTTCCAAAACCCTTTACCCTAATTGATTTTTCTCAAAAGGTTCTTTAATAAATTCCTTCCATGGCTTCCGTGTATTATGATCTTCCGCTTTTAGACCACGACACCATATTTTCCCTATTGCAAGTAAAGATTATAAATTTATTGACTTAATTTGATTATAATGATGCATAAGATGCTTTTGAAAGCAAGAGATAAAGTGATTGTTCAGGAGGAAAGGTATACGTTGAATCATCCATAATCCATAAGGTTTCATTGTTGATTGAACTATTTTGGGTTTTGGGGTCATTGTCCTTTCAGTTGTTCCATGTATTGCGGATCTTGCTTCATATGATCCACGAAGTTTGGAAGATACTACGTACTTTTAGAGACCTTCAGTTTCGGAATGTTAGGATCTCAAGATCCTATCACTAACTTACTGAAGAATTAAAGATCGTTCGGCTTGTTCAAGCAAATGATATTGTAAGGTAATTTGATGCATATGGTGTTGTAAGGTTTTTCCCCCTATTTGATATCATAAGGAGTTTGGGCCTCTAGGCAATTTTTACTCAATTTATGTTTAGGCTCACGACATTTAATTTGAAGTTTTTACTTGAGACCCATGTATTACATGGGTTTAATTAAAAAAAATAAATATAAAATTTTAATAATTTGAAAAGTTTGAATTTATAAGAAAAATGAAAAAAAATTTGAATTACTAAAACTAATGAGATTTTAATTTATTAAATACATTACATATATAAACTCTTTCTAATAAATATTTTACATATATATTACCTTACACATTAAATGTGGAATTTTAATTTAATAAAATAAAAAATACAATAAAATGACAAGTGGAAAATATAAATTTTAAAAATTCTAGAAAATGTCATTTATCCAAATGAATGAGAAGATGACATGTGGTAAAAAAACTTTCATTTATTATAGTAGATCTCTAATTCGGATAGAATCTTATTTTGGTAAGGTGGCTGTTTATTTTGGGAACATGTTATATGCTATAGTATCAACACCATATTTGCATGAGTTTGACATTGTTACATTTTTTTATGCATTTATAATAATTTAAAAGTATTTTTTAGCTAATTGCAAATAATTTAAGTTTGAAGGTTCTTATATGATGGCATTTGGGTGATTTGGTCGATCACCATGTTTTTTTCGTCTATGTCTGTTCGAGAGACATTAGTCCATTGTGGTTTTTTCGTGCTACGGTTTTTTATTATTATTATTATTTATGAAGATTTGAAGTTTTTAGTGCTGAAGATGGAATTCATGTCAAGATAGATTTTGTTGCATGATATGAGACAAACTCCCCTTTTTCTTTTTCCATAAAGGTTTCCACCATATTTTGCATTATATTTTATCATTTCTTCATTACTTGTGTCCAAGTAGTATCATCATATTAATAATAAGACGTTCTCTGAGAAACTTTTAATATAGTATTTTGTATTTTCTTTTTCGGATTTCAACACTGCTTTCGCAGGCTTTTAATCATACTTTTTAGCTCCATGCCTTATCATGTTGTGTATACTATCAAGAAACACCGCTCTTTAATCTTTATGCATAAAGTACAAATTGGGGCCTACCAATTATGAGAAAAGAATCCAATTTTGCAACAGAGAACACAGAGTGCCAAATGAAGTGAATAAAGCACGAATGCCTTGATATATGTGCAACTTTATAACAACTCTTTCATTCAAGATTTGTATTCACAAACTCATAAATTTATAAATATATAAGTAAAACTCACAACAAGATTTAATGCAAAGTAGAACAAAACCATTGACTGATTATTGGGAGGCTTAACATGCTAACTACATGGTACATGTAATATCTTAGAGAAAACCTGAAGAAAAAAAAAAAAAAAAACCCATTTATACCAATTTACATATTTCGTATGATGCAAGATAATCCATGTACCTTTTGCTAACATTTCTTTGCGTTTTTGAGGTTTCTTAGAGTCATTACAAGCTGTTGCCTTTCACCCTCTACCTCTGCAAACTTAAGACTTATTTCTGAATATCTTTCTTGCATTTCCTTCAATTCTACTTCCATCAACTTGTTTCTGTTTGATAATGTCTCAAAAATTTCTTGATTTCCAGTCTTGTTAATCTCGGACTTAATGGCATCATCACTACATCAATGAGATAAAAGATCCGTTTCTAAGGTTCAATATAAATTTTCATACTATAGTTAATGGATTTTTGGTTCAACAAATGTTACCTTATTATGTCTTGATCAAGAACCTCTAATCGTCTTTCCAACTCTTGGATTTTTTGTTGAAGATCTTTCTCTTTCTCTAGAAAAGAAGCTTCAGAAAGCTCTAAAGCAGTTTCTTTAAGCTTTATTTGACCCTGATGATCATATAAAGGGTCTAAGATTAGTATAGTCTAGATACGCTACAAAAGATAATAAAGGGATATAAAAATTTACCTCAAGTAGTTTGATATTGTCCTTCATATTGGTAATCTCTTTAGGGCCACGAGAAGCAGGAACAGGTTTATTGTTTCTAGGGGTTGTTTTGGTATTACTATTACAATCCTTGAGTTTTTTCTCTATACTGCTGATTGTTTCATCTTTCTTCTTGAGATCATTATTTAGTTGAGATACTTTCTTCATCAAATTTCCTTTCTCCAATTCGTACTCTTTAACAAACTGTTTCATTTCATTACATCGAGATTTTAAACGTTCAATCTCAGATTGTAGCCTTTCAACTTCATTCTCCTTATCTTTCTTAACATTTCTCACCTCACTCAACTCATTTCTTAAACTCTCCACTTCCATTTTTACCATATGAACCTCATCTTCAAGATTCTTTCTTTCATCTTGAAGATTTCCAATCTGTACTTCCATATCTTTTAATTGTTTTGACTTTAGGTTTATTTGGTTTGAAAGATCAAACAGTTTGTCTTCATATTGGTCACGAATATACTGCAACTCCTCTTGGACTTCTTTAAGCATCTCTTCAAGGTGTCTTTTTTCTACCTGGAGTTGATAAGCTTCATCCATGGCTTTCATGGCTGCATTCTCGTTTTCTTTAAAAGCCGAAGCCATTTCTGTTGATAGCCTTCTAAATTCCTCCTGAAGTTTCCCTGCTGTATTAGCATTCTGCAGTTTCACCTTTCTTAAATTTTCCTCTGACCGAATTGCCCTCTGCTCCTGTTCAACTTTTGCACGCATAAGATCTTCCATATCCGCCTCAAACCCAAGAGCTTGATTCTCCAAATCTTCCTCAAGATTCTTCACATGGGTTTCAAGTTCTTTGATTGTAAGAATCGATTTCAACAATTCTTTGGATTTCGTTTTGAGCTCATTGTCTAAATGATCTATCTGGGATTCGAGTTCATTTACAGAAGTGTAAGGAGATGAACATTCATATTGCATCTTTAACTGTTCTTGAAGTTGACTTTGTTCCAGTTTGCAAGACATGTCATGGTTTTCTTGCTTCAAGATCTCATAATCGAGTGCAATCTGTTCCATTTGTGTTTCGAGCTCTTCTTTATCTCTCTTGTATAACTCTATTTCATTATAAAGATCGATTATCTTTTGTTCCTGTAAATACGCATCTTTCAAGCCACTATGTTCTCTAACAATCTCTTCTAAAGCCTTTTGATCTTCATCATCATCTGTCTTGGATTTAGAGTTGACTTCTTGTGACTTTGGAGCAATAGAAGATTTCTGTTCCAGCATCTCGTCTAGGTCCCGAACAGCAAGAATCAACTCTGCATTTGATTCTTGAGTTTTCTGAAGTTGTAATCGAAGATTGGAATTCAAATCCTTTTCATAATTCAATTCTTGTTTAAGCTCATCAACAAGAACCCATGGATCCCCTCCTGAATTACCATTGACTTGGACTTCTGTGGGTTTTTGATACGCCTTCACCTTTGCACACTCCTCCTTAAGGAAAGCTACTTCCCGTGAAAGATCTTGACTCTTTTTGCTTTCTTTCACAATTTGCTTACGAAGGGTTTGTAGTTCCATCTCTGACATATCAGCTTGCCTAGCAAAAACTGCAACTTCTTCTTGGAGCTTTTTGATTATGGCATCTGGAGAATCTTCATCAGATGTTTCTCTTGAAAGGGTTTCTCTTGGACTTATTACAGAAGAATCATCGGTGCTTAATTCATGAGGTGAAGCATCTAACCAATCCCATTGTGATGATGATTTTCGATGCTGTTCTTCATAGATTGTTGTTGTTGAGGATTCACAAGCCGATTTATTATTAGTGTTTTTAGGTTCAGGGTCTCGTGGGGTGTCAAGTCCAGAGCTGCTATCTGAACATGACAGAGTGATATCAGATCCAATGGATGCCCTGCAGTCTCTGTTAATGTTATCACTCATAGCCCCATGATCCTGATTAAAGATGAAATTCCATATTAAAAGATGTTTATGAGCATAAAATCCATCATTAAAGGTGAAATAGAACTCACTTCAATAGGATCAACTCGGATGCTTTCTTGTATATCAACATTCGTGCTTTCACTAACATCAACATCCCTGTAAATTTTACAGCTAGATGTTCAGAATTTTGATAAGTGAAAAAGATTCAACAAGGCAAAACATCAAGAAATGCATGTGTACCTTTGATCTTGCACCCTTTGAATTGATACCTAATCAAAACAACATCTACAACCATTAAGCTTGAAAGAAATAATCCACTAAAAAGATTTGGAGAAATTGAGATGAAGAAGGGGACTAACATGTAATAGACTTGTGGATTTCGTATTTTTGAGAGGAAGAGATAGAGAAGAAAGCTTTGTAGCCTCAGCATAACTTGCAAAATCAATTGAAACTTCTCCAACAACACCAAAAACCGAAGAACCCTACAAAATGTGAAAATCCCAACAAAAATCAGAAGTAATTTTCAATTAAGTTTTGTTGATTTAGAACCATAGAAACTATTTAGTACCGTTGCTACAACAAAACGATAGATTTTGTCATTGAATTTTCCGGTTTTTTGATCTTGAGTGAACTTCACAGTTTCATAATGTGGCTTTTCCCAATAACAACTTCCATCTCTAACTTTTGCTTTATCTAATCTTGTTGTGGGCTTTCCAACATCATTAGGAATCACAGCTATCATCAAAGCATCTGCTCCAACCTGTGTTAGCTGAATACAGAAATAATAATTCTTGTAAGGATATTGAAAGGTAACAAATTAATATATGAATCTTTTTAAACACTTAGCTGCCTAGAAAATGTAATAAAACAAGAATCATTGTGAATCTTATTGTTTACAGTTACCCAATTGATCTTTATATCAGAAAAACTACCAATAGTTGAGTTGTTCCTATATTTGTTAACTTTTATTTAAGCATGTTGGATCATAATCACAGTTTTGAAAATTTCATTAGCTATGAACAAGATCTCCTGACTTTCACAAGCGAAACAAAACCCTGAGATATGGAACAAAGTTTCCAGTGCCCAGGTTTGACAAGAACAAAATTCATAGACGCCATAGTTGACCTAAGAAATGTAGGAGGTGAGCACCAATCAAATCCCTTTTTTGTTTGATTTCCTTGGAAATATAAGACGAAAAAATAGCTGAAATGTTCCAGATTTATTAATTTCTTAAGAGTAATATAACGTCATATTTTCAAGGAGAAAGCCAGATAAAAGTTAAGTTCCAAAGTTCATCTCTTTCAGGCAATTTAGCAAACACGTTATGTGCACTTGTGCAAACAGTCTTTTACATATACACGCACATACACATATGTGTAAGTGCATATGAAGATACATAACCTGAGTTGCATGAAACTGCAATTTAAATACAGCTTTGATTTTGTTCTTGTCGCTCCTCCATCTCGCAGACTTGAACATTTTCTCTCCCTGTATCTCCTTCTCTCTCTATGCAAATATGATGCTCAAATTCCACATTTGCAAGTAAAATATTTCATGGTTCCCCTGGGCTAAGACAATAATTTTCTGCAACATCATCGGAGCTCCGACAAAGCTGCCGGAAAATCGTCAAATCCTTCTGTTACAGCAAACCAATCTTGAAAATAACAGAGCCCCAACAGGAATCGACTCAAGATCAATTCTTCTACACCTTATATAACAAATACCCAATTTAATTCATAAAATGGGAAGCTCAAAACACGTATCAACACAAAGAGATTATAATAAAAACCGACTTGACACAATAGTGACAATGCAAGTCCAACCCAGTGAAGATGTGAGGATATTTTCGGGTCAGAGAGGTTTTCACATTGAAGAACTCGTGAATGTATTTAAGAATGAGCTTGAAAGCTCACACGCAAACACAGCAGATCTAAAAAAAAGTCGTTTCTCTCTCTCTCTCTCTCTCTCTCTCTCTCTCTCACATTCTCTCTGAATAAACAAATCCAAGAATTTGTGCATCTACAGTTTGTTGAAAAATAAAGAACTTATTAAATGCCGTGGCTACATCATAAATCAATAAATAAAGACGGGTTTGGTGACAAATTACATAAAAGGGAAAAAGGAACCTTCTCTAAGATTTTTATACTAAAAGATTCTTTTCTTTCGTTCAAGAAAATAAATTATCTGTTAGAATTTCCTGAAAACAAATGAAAGAGATAAATAATGTAAAAGGGGTCGAACACATTGAAAATGAAAACAAATTTATATAATTATAAATATTATAATGGCTTTGTCTAAAATAGTTAAATAACAACCATGATTAACATATTAAAATAAAAAAGACAAAAGAATACTAATAAGTCACTAATTGACTCATGTTAAAAAACAAAAACAGGTTATTAGCTTTAACTTTTAAGAGTAAATTAGAGCATTTTATATTTGCTTTTTTCCTTTACCATATCATATTTCCAATAATTTTATTAAACTATTAATAGAATTTATTTTCAATCATTGATTTTTTTTAAGTTATGAATTAACCAACTATCAACCATTTTTTATGAAATATTTTAATAAATTTCTTCCTGTAACTTATTAATTTTAAATATTTGTAATATTCATAGAATTATAAAGTATTGGAAAATGACTTTGTGATTGTTAAAAAAATAAGGATTTTATCTAAAAATATTTGGTGGTATATTAGTGATCTGGTTTTGGATTTTTTGTTTTTAGTGAATTTCATCTCTTATACATTTAAAATGACTTTTATACCTTTATAATTTTTTTCTAACTTTTTTAACTTTATATATATATATATATATATATATATATATATATATATATATATATATATATATTTAAAATGACTTTTATGCCTTTATAATTTTTTTCTAACTTTTTTAACTTTATATATATATATATATATATATATATATATATATATATATATATATATATATATATATATATAACCCATCCCCTCTTCCATATTTATCAGAGAAACCCCTTCATCAGAAAATCCCCTTCATTACCGGCTCCACCCTCCATCAACGGCGCAACCTTTTGTCCGGAACAACCGTTAACAACCACAAATATTGCCATAAACCACTGCCAACCTTTTCCATCTGATATGGCACCCTCTTCTATCTCTCGTCCAACTCGCCATCACCACCTCTGCCATACATTTTGGTCTCCCACAACTGTCATTCTCATTAGAAATCGGCGACGCCTAAAAATCTCAGCTGAAACGACCACCAACGTCGCCATTTGATCTATCATTGACGCCTTCATTCATTTTTCAATGATGTTTCAACGATGGTTTTTGGATCGACAATGTTCCGACGAAAAGGGCCTTATCGTCTTTCAGACCTTCATGTCATCTTTCTCTTCCTTGTCATCATTTATTTGGAAGGTGGTGTCGCCCGAATCTAGGGTTTGCAACCCATAAACCACAGAAACTTTCAGACAAGTTAGAGTTCCCCCAGACCGTCATCTCCAAACTCGGCTTCAGTTAACCATTATCGAGTACCCATTTAACCCAAGCCCTAGGTTCCAATTTAGGGAAATCGATCTACGCTTCATTAACACTTGTGTTGGTATATGGTGGAGATGATGATGAAACATAAAGATGGTCGGTTAGAAACTTGTTGCATGAAAGTGAGAGGATGATGTACATTCGTGTTGTCGGTTGGTGAGATGGTGAAGCAAGGTTGGTGATGGTGGTGTAATGTGTTAGGATGCAAAGTCACGCTTGGATGTATTTTGTGTTTACCCTCTTGTATTGTGTAATGAGTTGTCTTTTCTATAAATAGGAAGTGAGTGACACTCATATTAAAGAATGATCATTTTGGAGTGTTAGTTTTAGACGGATAAATAACAAGACCTATTTGTATTCTTTCTATTAAAAAAAAAAACTAATGAGAGCTTAACCCAGATTTATTTACTCAATGTGTTCATGATTTGTATGATGATTCACTAGATCTAATCAATTATGCATTTTTCATCATAATCAACACCACTATATAATGGTGGGTTTTATGGTTAGGGTGGGGTAGGGATGACGATGACTCGAGAAGGGAGTGGGGATTGGAAATCTTTTTGTTTTTTTTTTTCAATTAAAAAGATATGAAAATAAGTGAAAGGAAATTAAAAAAATTATTTAGGGGCATGTTCGTCATTTGAGGTTGGGTATGGATCAAAACCACAAAAAAAATGCCAACCATATAGACCAAAACCACACAATATATCCAAAATTTGGATCATTGATGCACCACCAAAAAAATTACCATCACTACATATTTTTGACAACCAAGGGACCATTTTCATAATTTTATCTGTAATATATCAAATTAAAACAAGATAAAAATGCATGAATGGTCCTTGTTGAAACACCCGATCCCAGGTATGGAATTCTCATCTTTTAAACTTTGATTTTTTGGCTGGCCAGGACGTGGTGAAAGGATCAACACGACGTGGCAGCGTTGCATGAAACACATGTTTCTCATGGCCACCACGACATGGACATTCAACGGTCGGGACATTATGAAGGAAGCAATGTAAACCCTAAATTTTTTGGGTTTTGTGCACTACTTAAAGGAAGTGATGGCTAGGGTTCTTTCCACCCTCATCCTTCATCACTTCCAAAGCATCCTAGACCAACCCTAGCCTCCTTTTGAAATTCTCGACTCATTTTTGGTAGTTTGGTGACCTTGGAAGGAAGAAGAATGAACTATTGTGCATAGATACAGCCAGCAACTTGTCTCTACTCCTTGTGTACATCTTCTGGACCCATTGTAAGTCCCCAAGCTTCCACTTTTTTGGTTCCTTTTTAATAGATCTAGGTTTTATAGCAAGTTTTGGTTCACTTTTGAGATTGGATTGGTTGGATGAGATCAAGTTTGCAACTTTATGGCTCACTTTGGTCCCTTTTCACTATATCTTTTAGATCTAGAATATAAATGAGTTGTGAGAGCCAAACATGAGTATTAGGTCATTTTCTCAATCTTTTGACCTAGTTGGGTGAAGGACCTGCATGAGTAATGAATGTCTATAAAGTTTGGAGTTTTATAGACCATTAGTGTCCCAAGAAGCTTACTAGAAGGTAAGAAGAATGGGCTTAACGGATTAAGGATTGAATCCATTAAGTTGCCCAAGTGCAACAGTCATGGTGTGGCAAGATGGGTGCCATGATGTGGTGATAAAGGACTTCACGAGTGTTTTGTCTAGACGTTGCCACAATGTGATGGCACGCCTCCCACGATGTGGCAGGCGGATTTAGATCGCAATTGAGTTAGATAGCCACGACATGACCATGGGTTGCCCATGACGTGGAGGTCACCTGGAGTTGACTTTGATCGTTGATCGTTGACTTTTGACATGGTTGACTTTTATCCAAATTTCTACTTTTGTAAGGCAGACTAAGGGTTTACCTTGTATGATTCAGTAGATGGTGTAGCCCCCATTTCTCAACTGTATGAGCTTGTTAGCTGTCGACTGCGTTTGTGAGGTGAGTCTTCTCACTATACTATGTAGCTTGTTAGACTGTCTTTATGACTTTAGCATGAAAGACCATCGAAGGACCATTACACTTGTATGAATGACCACAAGAGGACCATGGAAGTCATACGGAAGAGTATGGGAGGACCATAGAAACAAAGATTGTAAAAGGACTGCAATAATGAGTGTATGTAAGACTATAGGAAGACCATAACATTCACATGTTATGTATGTCATGTGGTATTTTGGGGAACTCACTAAGCTTTGTGCTTACGGTTTTATGTTTAAATGTTTCGGGTACTTTTGGTTCCAAATGGAAGGGTCTGACATGATTGCATCGCATCCATTGGAGATTCCGCATTTATGATTTTGTTATTACTCTGATGTTATTTTGAAACACTTTTCGATACTCCGACTATCTTTTCGAAGTAATGGATAAATGATTTGGTTGATTTAAAAATAAAAAAATTTGCCTTGTATTTTGGGACGTTACACTTGTAGTTTTCCTAAATAGGTGTAGTAAGGACAACTCTCAAAACTCCTACGTACTTTATCCATGTGGTTTCAAAAACTTGACCAGATGGTATTTTTCGCCATAACATGTCTTTTTTTACCATTATTATTATTATTATTATTATTATTATTATATGTATGGGTTTTTTTATTTTTTATTTAGAAAAATTATCTCTCTCCCCCCCCCTCTCTCTCTCTCTCTCTATATATATATATATATATATATATATATATATATATATGGTTTGGATCCTATGAGGACTCAAATTTTGGTGAGGATTGCAAGGACAATTATTGTCCAATCGAGCTCATTAAGGGCATTTAGGTCAAAAAAAATATTTTGAATGGCTAGGCAAAAACACAAAGCATCCCTGGGCTAATAAGCAGTGATCTATATGAATGTCATCTTTATGGCTTACAACTGAAGCGACTTATCAATCATACAAGAAACATTATTTTCAATTGAAAGAGCTTTTTCTATTTATCGATATGAGATTTCTTATTAAATCAGGTTAGTTTAACTCAATTTTTTCATACATTTCTTCATCACTAAGAGATTAATTCTTGATTGACCCCGAATCTGTAACAATCAATCCTACGAACCAAATTTTCAAATCATGAACCAAAATGATTTTTTTTCTTCAATTTTTTCTGGTAATAATGTTGATTCAAACTTAAAACGTTGTGAATCTATGCAAATTTTGATTGAAATTGACATTTACATTGAATATTCAAAACATTCTCTGAACAAATTGGTTATATGAACTACGTTGTCAAATCACCAACAAAAAACGATTATTTCTTATTTTTTTTTCTTGTAATGATGTTGCTTTTATATGGATTGTATATGTTTCTTACAAGATTCAGTGCAAAAATTTAATGATAAAAGGGTCATAAATTTATGTTTAATGATGTCTTACAAGTGTTTGATGAAATGCCTAAGAGATTACATGATTTTTCTACTGATGCTCATCTTTCTTGGTTCAATTTGTGTTAGTTGGTGTCTTCGGATGGTTTTTCTATTGGTTATATATATGTGTGTGTGTGTATGTATATATATGTTTTATTCACTACTAGAAAAACAGCCTTTTACCACATGCAATTCGTGTCGTAAAACGCTCAGATGACGTGCAAATGTGTGTCACTGAAGGCTCTGTCATAAAGGAAGACGGCACGCTTTTGCGCATCGTCTACTTACAACGCGCATTTAGGACACACGCTTACGACACACAATGCGTGTCAAGGAAGGTCGTGTCGTAAAGAACACGACACGCATTTGTGTGTCGTAACCTTACAACACACTTTTACGACTCGCATTGCTTATCATTAAAGCCTGTTTCATATAAAAGATGACACACATTTTTGCGTGTCATAATTTTAAAGGTCTTAAAAAAAATTTGATAGGTTTACTAAATTTCAAATCAAATAACACATTTAAAAGTCTCATAATGCAAAATAAAATACTTATATAACAAAACAATCCATTTCGTGAAATAATTGTACTAATACTCAAAATAAATCACATTTAATTGTTATTTTATTAATACGAGTCAAACTAGACAAACAAATCTTCCTAGTCCTAATAACACTAAACATAAAACACAAAATATTTTGGAAATACAAATCTTTGTTACTTGTGTAGAAAAAATGTGATCAATTTGTTTCAAGAAATGTAATAGTTGCTCTGCACGACTTCTTCCATCTTCTGGCTTCAATTACAATTGAAGAAGCATATCTTGCAGCATATCCATACATGAGAGCTAATGCAGCATGAATGTCATTAGAATCTTTAATCTTAGTTTTATCTGAGAAGAAGGATAGAAATCTGCATTTCAAACAGTCTTTTGTTGTTAAGAATACTAAACATAAAATAAGCATAAATAATAAATAAAAATTATATAATATAAATATATACCTCTGGAGAACACTTTTTCCAATGTTATCAAGAATGTCTTTAAGTTTGTCTAACACAGTATCCAAGTGGGATGCTGCAACCTGAAAAAGGAATTGACATGGACTTAATTTACTTCATAGGGGTAATTTGGTAATTCCATACATACCAATCCCATGGCTTTAGCCAAACCAAGTCGATTTTTAGGAATGGTGATATTTGCTTGTTTGTACATCCAGTCGATTTTATGACAAACATAAGTCCTATTATCAACTTTCTGAAGAAGTATACTAAGACATTTGTAGGAGAAGACTATATACTCTCAATAATATAATTTAATTAAAAAAACTAATGATAATGATAATGCGTTCATACTTGTGAAGTAGTGCAGAATGCTCATCATTAGATGTATAAAGCTCATACTGCTTTGCAAAAGCATTTCCAAGAGAAATGACCCAATCAATGTCTTGAACAACATCCAAAGTTTCTGCAAGAAACGGCAAACAAAAAAAGAAATAAAGAATAATGACATGAGAAGAGGATCTTTTTGCACGCCCTGCACTTATTTGTAACACCGTAAATTTCAAAACAAAATTTTCAAATTTTTATAAAACATAATTCATTTAATATTCAGAAAACAACCATTTTTAATCATTCAATCCAAGTAATACAAAATGCCAAGATCTCAAAATCATAAATCCCATGCGTGTGTACTGATCAAGCCGGCGCCTTCCCGCGGTCGTTACTAGTACCTGAAACAAATAACATCAAACACTAGAAGCACAAAGCTTAGTGAGTTCCCCAAAATACCACATATAACACATATTAGCCACTCGAGGCTATAACTCTGTGGGTCCGGGCACCTAGACTCTGTGAACCCTCAGGTTCTAACTCTGTGAACCTTCCGGTTCTAACTTTGTAAACATGCACATCATAAATCACATAGAAATAATGCAGTACAACACATAACATACATAGCATAAAAATCCTTTGTCACATAACTCTGGTTACCTACTCAAGGTAAAGTATAGTGAGAAGACTCACCTCGCGTGTCTTGGTAATTCGTAAATCCCTGAAATCACTAGTGCTCGATCTCCCGAGCTATAGTCCTCCTATAACACAATACATCTCTAATTAACACTTTCCCAACTAAGGTTGACTATCCCTTAACAAGTCAACATAGGTCAACACTGGTCAATGGTCAACAGTCAACTTTGACTGGACTCGGCGAGTCTAAGCGCATACACTGATTTCCCTGGGATCCTCTCTTGACACATCGAGTATTCTTTTAACTCGACGAGTTCCATCTGGCATGAGTTGTGGGGCCACCACGACTCAACTCACCAACTCTCAAGAACAACTCGGCGAGTCCAGCTTGACTCAATCCACCTGTCAACCCACTCTGACTCTCCCTGACTCACTGAGTCAAACCCTCAACTCGGCAAGACCACTCGCTGTGTGGTGCTGGGCAATATTCATGCTACTCGCCGAGTCTGTTCTTCGGACTCGGCGAGTCCATGCCATGCAATGACTCAAACTCGCTCCTAAGGTCAGATCCGGTCCATTAACTCATAGATCCAGTCCTTCCAAGCTTATTTAGCACGTAAAGTCAATATCTTGATGTACATACAACATCTATATGACCATATATGATGATTTTGTCCCAAATACCACAACTCAAGGTCATAATCTCCATTACTCTTCATAAAGCTTGATGAGTGAGGCTCTCTGGACGTCTATGGATCCAAATCCAAAGCCTCAACATTAGAAAGGGACTATTTGGCATCAAATCAACCCAATAAAGGCCACAAGAAACCCTAAATCCAAATATACTTCGTAAAACAGAAGATGAGCTGAAATAATACCTCAAGTTCGAAGATCTGAGCTTCAAATCCACAGTATAGCAATCTCCTATGCTTTCTCTTGGTTATGACCTCCTTCTCCTTGCTAAATAACACCACAAAGGTCAAGAATGGCTTCCTTTCTCTCTCAAAACGTTCCAGCACTCTAGGGTTTATCTCTATGGATTGGTGAGCACAAATGACGGTCATAAGGCCCTTTAAATAGGTCTCAAACCCTGGGGATTAGGGTTTCATCACACAGCGTGGACTCGCCGAGTCCACTCTTGGACTCGCCGAGTCCGGAAGCGAACCCGTGCCCAATACCGCGATCCTACTCGGCGAGTTTGAGCTCCAACTCGCCGAGTCCACTCACAATTTCCAAAAATAAGCCAATAATAAATACCTGGAAATTCCAGGCTGTTACAGTTCTCCCCCACTAGAACTAGACTTCGCCCTTGAAGTCTCACTCTGCAAATAACTTCGGATGCTGCTCTCGCATCTCACGCTCCGGTTCCCACGTCATCTCAGACCCCTTCCGATGCTGCCACTAAACCAAAACCAAAGGTACCTCCTTGTTCCTCAGAACTTTGATTTTCCGATCTCTGATGGCCACTGGTCTCTCAGCATAATTCAGGCTCGCATCCACCTGAATATCCTCTAATGGAACAACAATCGACTCATCGGCTATACACTTCCGCAATTGCGACACATGGAAAGTGTCGTGAATTTGCCCCAACTCTGCTGGCAAATCCAAAGGATAGGCTACCCTGCCTACCCTCGCGACTACCCGAAATGGTCCGATATATCGGGGCCCCAGCTTGCCCCTCTTCCTGAATCGGATCACTCCCTTCCAAGGAGAGACCTTCAGGAGCACAAAATCACCGACCTGGAACTCAAGTTCTGACCGGCGTCTATCCGCAGAACTGTAACAGCCCGGAATTTCCAGGTATCTATTTTGGAATTATTTATGAAAATTGTGAGTGGACTCGGCGAGTTGGAGCTCAAACTCGCCGAGTAGGATCACGGATTTGGGCACGGGTTCACGTCCGGACTCGACGAGTCCAGGAGTGGACTCGGCGAGTCCACGCTGTGTGGTGAAACCCTAATTTCCGGGGTTTGAGGCCTATTTAAAGGGCCTTATGGCCGTCATTTGTGCTCACCCAACCCTTAGAGAGAAACCCTTGAGTGCTTGAACGTTTTGAGAGAGTGAGGAAGCATTCTTGACCTTGTGTGTGTCATTTAGCAAAGAAGGAGAAGATTCTAGGCAAGAGGAAGCAAAGGAGGTTGCTATTTCGTGGATTTGAAGCTTAGATCATCAATCTAGAGGTATGATTTCGGTTTATCCTCTGTTTTGTGAAGTATTATGGGATCTAGGGTTTCTTATGGACATTTATGGGATGATTTGATGCCAAATAGTTCCCTTCTTGTGTTAAGGCTCTGGATCTGGATCCATAGAGGTCCAGAGAGCCTCACTCATCAAGCTTTATGTATAGCAATGGAGTTTATGACCTTGTGTTGTAGTATTTGAGTCAAAAACATCATATATGGTCATATAGAGATTGTATGTGCATCAAGATTGTGGCTTTACGTGCTAAATAAGCTTGGAAGGACTGGATCTATGGGTTAATGGACTGGATCTGACCTTATGAGCAAGTTTGAGTCATTGCATGGCACGGACTCGCCGAGTCCGAAGAACAGACTCGGTGAGTAGTATGAATAATGCCCGACCACACAACGAGTGGTCTTGCCGAGTAGGGGAGGGTTGACTCAGTGAGTCAGGGGGAATCAGAGTGGACAGGTGGACTGAGTCAAGCTGGACTCGCCGAGTTGTTCTTGAGACTCGGCGAGTTGAGTTGTGGTGGCCCCACAACTCATGCCAGGTGGAACTCGTCGAGTTGGAGAGAATGCTCGACGTGTCAAGGGAGGATTTCAGGGAAATCATTGTATACGCTCAGACTCGCCGAGTCGCCATAATGCACTCGCCGAGTCCGGTCAAAGTTGACCGTTGATCGTTGACCTAAGTTGACTTGTTAAAGAGTAGTCAACCTTAGTTGGGAAAGTGTTAATTAGAGATGTATTGTGATTTAGGAGGAATTTAGCTCGGGGGATCGAGCATTAGTGATTTCAGGATTCACGACTTACCGAGACGCGAGGTGAGTCTTCTCACTATACTTTACCTTGAGTAAGTAACCAGAGTTATGTGATCGAGTGTTTGTATGCTATGTATGTTATGTGTTGTATTGCATTATTTCTATATGATTTATGCTGTGCATGTTTACAGAGTTAGAACCTGAGGGTTCACAGAGTTTGGGTGCACGGACCCACAGAGTTATAGTCTCGAGTGGCTAATATGTGTTATATATGGTATTTTGGGGAACTCACTAAGCTTTGTGCTTACAGTGTTGATGTTATTGTTTCAGGTACCAGTGACGACCGCAGGAAGGCGCCGACTTGATCCGTACACACCACGAAGTTTATACATTTGCGATCTTGGGATTTTGTATTTACTTAAATGGGATAATCGAATATGGTTGTTTTTATGAATATTAAATGAATTATGTTTTATAAAAATTTGAAAATTTTGGTTGAAATTTACGGTGTTTCAATAACTCTTTTGTCGACTCTGAGCAGTCAGTAACCTCTGTCTGAAATTTTGGTTGAAAAATTTGTTTGAAATTTTGGTTGAAATTTACGGTGATTCATTTTGGTTGAAATTTACGATGATTCATTTTGTTTATTCGGGAAAAAAATTTGTAGAAAAAAAACTTCTTATCTTTCTACCAAAAAATTTCTTCTTATTTGATCTTGACTATATATATATATATATATATATATATATATATATATATATATATATATATATATATATATATATATATATATATATATATATATATATATATAAATCTTTTGGGGCATTCATGCCATCTTGTTAGTGATAGACTGATAGTCTGATATACAAAATCTTGTATGTGAATTTTAATTCCACGTGCTTCTCCCCAAATTAATTTATTTAAACAAAGTCAAAGAGGGAATCAAACTGCGGTTGAGGACGAGAAGTTGATGACCAGAAAAAAAAGACAGTCTAACGGTCCTCTCTCTCACTTTATATATATATATATATATATATATATATATATATATATATATATATATATATAGGGTGAGGTTCAATACAAACCGTAATTAACCAAGAAACCAATCTTTTTTTTTAACTTTTAGAATTTATTTTTTTATTTAAAAAAAAAACTGAAATTCATAACTTTTTATTCTTTTTCCAATCATATAAAATTCGATTTTTTTTACGTCAAATTCACAATGTGAATCTTTGAAAATTCACAACGTAAATCCGGATTCACACGGTGAACCCAAAAAATATTTTTCACATTTACAA